CTTTTGAACTCAGAATAGAGGGTTTTGGAACTCATTTATATCTGCATTTGCTGCTATCAAAGCCCAGAGAGGCAGGTTAGCAGCAAAATATGTCTCAGCTTGGGACAAAAAAGCAAAACCGGTTCATGCAAACAGTGTTTCAGGACAGGAGCCAATACATCAGCCAAACCAAGATGTTTTCAGCTGACTTCTGCTCCAGTTACACATTTAGTAATACAATTGCTCCACCACTTCCTGATCTGATATTCACTTCCTTTTTCCTGCTACATAAAAAAAAAGCAGCTTAACTATTTGACATGTCCGTGAGAGTTAAACTTGGAGAGCATAGCAAAACGCTTCTGAAAGGGCAAGCACATAAATTCCTTAGCCTAGATTTATATGACTTATGGCATAAGCACATACATTTCTAGCCCAAAGAAAGTTCCACTGAGCTCAATAAGGCTTCCACATAGACTCATAGAATTGTATAGTTGAAAGAGGGTCATCTTGTCCAAGCTCCTGCAATGCAGGAATCCTGCCCTCAGCCAATCCCTTGGTGGGCACAAACCACCAGCCTTCTGGTTAACAGTCACATGCACAGACTTGTTATAGCACAGGAGGTATAGGACTGAAGCCCTGAGCTTCCACAGCCATCACCCAACAGGAACCACCATTGGCAGGAACAGCAGCAGGTATCTTCTATGCTTATGATAATACTCCATTCTCTTGTTAATTATGTTGTTTTAAATGTGCACTTTATATTTGACTCCCTTTATTAAATGTTTTCTTTTGAAATGTGTTATTTTTGTTTACTTTACTGTGCTAAATGTGCATTCTGGAACTGACCTCCTTCATAATGTTTTCCTTTGAAATCTTTAAGATAATATTTTACTAATTATGTTGCTTTGAATGCATAGTTTATATTGGACTTTCTTCAGTAATGTTTTATTCTGGATTATTTGGTTTTTTAATGTGTTGTAAACCGCTTTGAGATTTTTTCTTAAAAATACAAAGTGGAATAGAAACAAAATGAATACTACTAATAACAGTCTTCTTGTCCGTGGATGGTCCCATGGTAATGTAAATGAAGGCACTCACAACCTGAGCATTGTAAATAGGAAAAAAAATGATGCTATTATGGTCAGTTTACCTGTTCTGGGATCTGATATGTTAATCAGGCATTGTGGGCAGAAAGACCAGAGGAGTTGTAAAGTCATTTGTGATTATCTCCTGGCTTAGACCAGCCTGATTTTGTTAGAAACAGCTCCACTGTATATTTGCTCACAGCAGAAACATCTTTAGGAATGAAGTCAAACAGGCTTTGTTTTGTAATGTACAGGGAAATTAAGTTCTTAAAATGTCCTATTTTCCCTGCCCACACAACAAAACAGAGCACAAAGCCAGTTGACCTGAAGATTAGAGATGGGCGAATCTGTCAATTTCAGTTTCTTTGGTTTTAATTTTTCCAGTCTGAAGTTCTCCAGATTTCCACACCAGCCCCCGTAGCATTTCCTCACTTCCTTTTATCAGCACTTTCTCCTCTTATCTTCAGAGAGATCATTGACTTTCTGCACCTTGTGACAACTTCATTAGAGTTACTTCCTCAACTTTGCTGGAAGACGAGCTCCATCAGGAGCCTCCTTCACCTGAACTGTTTCTATACCAGCTAGAAAGCTATAAGAAGTACCATTTGAGAACAGGTGCCTGAGTTTGCTTCTACTCCCCATTTCCCTCCCGGTCCCCTTGTGTGTCATTTTTTTAAAAGGGACTGTCTTGTTTAAATTGATTGTATGTCAGTCACTAAGTGATTATGAGACCCTTCATAGCTGAAGAGCAGGGTAGGCATCATTCATGCCAATCTTCTTTGCATCCTTCTGATTATAGCATATGTATCACCAAAGCCATCAGAATATATACTAATAATGATGAATATAACTGAGTTAGCAGTTCATTTTGTGGATGTGTGTGTTACTGTATATGCACAAACATCATGGCTACATCTCAGGGATCCTGAGAAACAAAAGAGGAATTGGCATGCTAGCAGGAACTACAAGGTTTGCAGAAATAGAAACAATTACTTGGGGTGGGGATTTAAGGGGGCATGGAAATCTCCCATGCAGCCCAACGAGGACTGTGCATGCTTTAGCACCTACAAAATGTCTGCTTGGGATTGGAACTTAAATGTCTGCTTGGGATTGGAAACTAGTGGAGGGGAAATGTAATGGAGTGTCCTGGGAAATGGTTATGACTAGATGGCTGGCACACTGTACTGGAGCTCTCCACACTGCACCATTCCACCACAAGTCCCACTTATAAGGCTAAATATCTCTATAAGGCTTTCAGTTAGAAAATGTTACAGTGAATATTTATTGAAATGTTTTGTCTGGGCTTATTGATCAAAATGTATGGTTTTGGTCCCAAAAAGTTGTCTCTCGCTCTTTTGGGTGCATGTGCATCAACCCACAGGGAGGAAAATGTAATGGAGTCCACTGAAAGAAGACACGGTTTGTTGGTTGGTTGGTTGGTTGGTTGGTTGGTTGGTTGGTTGGCTGGCTGGAACTCTGGACAGGAGCACCCCACACTGCAATATTTGTTCATATGCCCCACTTGTAAGAACACAAGAGCAACCCTGCTGGACTAGACCAAGGCTCCACCTTGTCCAGCAGTGGACAGTTTGACAGATGCCTCTTGGAAGTCCACAGATGAGACACAAAGGCAACAGTCTTCTCCCACCATTTTTTCCCAATCAGTCCCTACCTGCCTTCCCTCAAACTTAGCACCAGTCCAGGTGGTGACCCTGGTGATCAGCTGCCTCCGCCTCATTAGTTTCTGTTCTGCCTTTGTAGAACTTGGCAGGATGCAAGAACATTAAGAACAGCCTACTGGATCAGGCCAGTGCCTTATCTATTCCAGCATCCTGTTCTCATACTAGGTGACCAGATGCCTGTGGGGAGCCTGCAAACAGGACAGAAGCACAACAGCACTCTGCTCACCTGCGATTCCCAGCAATTGGTATGAAGAGGCATGCTGCCTCTGAAATTGGAGGTAAAACATAACCATTGTAGTCAGAAGCATGGAGGATGAAGAAGAAACTGGAATTAGTTGGCTCTGTTTGTCATTGGCTCTGGCTCCATCTACAGTTGGACTCACTGCTTTCCACCCTGCCATTCCCAATGAGCACCAGCCACCACTAAGTGACATGCTGCATCTGAACTAGGTGGCCTATATAGAAAGAAACGGAACATACAACTCTTGCTGGAATAAATGATCCATCTAGTCCAGGTATGGGAAAACTTTTACACTCAGGTATTTTTGAGACTTCAGTTCCCGTCAGCCCGAGACTATGGCCAACTGTCAGGTCCAGTGAGAGTTGAATCCAACAAAATATGGAGGGACACAGTTTTCCTTCCCTGATCTAGTTGGTCAATGCATTAGAAGGGCCAGAGCTCAGTAGGGAAGCAGTTGCTTGGCATGCAAAAGGTCCCAGGTTCAACCCTCAGAATTTCTATGTAGGTTTGGGCATATCTCCTGTCTGAAATCCTGGAGAGCTGCTGCCAAATCTGTGTCAATAATACTGAACTAAATAGACTCAGTATAAGGCAACTTCCTATGTCCCTACAACTGCAGCTCTGCAACATATTCAACCTAACAGTACAGAAATATCCAGTTGATCAACTGGATATTATGTTGATCAACATTCCAACAGTCGTGTATATAATAATTTCATGGCTTGAAATGACAAAACTTGTCAACCACCTATGTCATGTAGGGCTGTGTGACTGCTCTGGACAGATCCCAACCTGAAGCAGGCCTGAAACATGTCAAGACATCTCTCAAGCCAGACACAGCAAAACACTCCCTAAACAGACAGCTTGTCTTCAAAGTGTTGCAAATCAATGCCATGTAAGGGGACTACCAGGGTGGGGAAAGAGGAATTTGAACTTTGCTCATTAATAGCCAGTCACAGTGTTGGAGGGTGGTGAACTGTTACAGGCGTCTCTCTCGGAGACATTTACTGTTTTGCAAGTTCTCTTGAATGTCAGCACAAATTTGGTGGGTTTTGTTCAGCTTGTCTTTTGTTAACCTTCAGTTGATACCAGCATTCTTTCTTACATACCTGTTTGTTTTACAATGCTTTCCCAATCCTAATCTTATTCTAAAAAAATGAAAACCCTGTTTACTGTTTACTTTAGTGTTTGTTGCTTAGGCAGTGTCACTTCCCTTATGCCGTCCCCCAAGATGGCCCTAGTTTTTTAGTTAGGTTTGCATTACAGATGTGTTGTTTTCTGCATTTGTAGGTGTCCGTCTTCTGAATACACCATACACCTACAGTAAAAAAGCAGCACACTTCCACAGGGCAGCTGTGGTGCCACCAGAGACAGAGGGGCCAGAGATGCTGGCAGCAACAGCACCACCACTGGCTAGATTAGTTTGCCACCAGTCAGCCTGGTCCATCCTAGGACTGCTTGCTGGGGTGGTGGGCAGTAGCAGCAGCCTGTGTGGTTTCTTGCCTGTCTTGAGGGGTTTTTTTTGGTAGCAGGTGCAAGCCTGGTCCCATAGCCATGCAATCATTTGAGGATGGAGTAGGCACTGACAGCAACAGCCTGGCAGGGGCTTCCCCTTTGGTAACAGAAGGGACTGAGTCCAGCCCACTGGTAGACATCAGCATCTCTGAGGCGGTGTCTGTGTCTGAGGTTCTCAGGTGGATTGAGGAGGAGTTCTTCCGTTTGGAATGATGAGGGTAGGGAGCAGCAACAGGTATGCTCTCCAGTGCCATCAGGAAATGCTTCCTCTGACGCCCTCACTGTTCCTGTGGTGGTGTTGACACCTTCAGACTGAAGGCAATCTGTGGTACTATTCTGACGTGGGGCTGGATCCCACCACTGCTCTCTGCCATTGCTGCAGATGGGCAATGAACAAGGGGAAAGTAACGTTCAAATCCAATTATTAACAAGGCAACCTCATACCAGGTGTCTTCAAGCTGCAGGCAGTTATATGCAAAAACAACGAAGTTACAGCCATTTTACTTTTGAAACACTTTATTTGTGTGTGAAGGGGGACAAGCTTTAAAGATGGCTAGCACATAAACCCCTGGATCTACCTATTTGAAACCCTCTCTGGAGGAGCTACCATGTATTCAAATGTCATGCATCTAGGGGGAGGATTGTGGTCATTTTGGCTTCCCAATACATGCCTCTCTGAGGACTGAAGATTCGGATCTCCAAATTTTGATTTGGATGTTGGGTGTGAATTGATCCAAACTGAATTGTGTCTTGAACTGAAAGAGGGACAGGGAGCTTGCACAGTGCTAACATCAGAGATGGGGAATCTGGGACCATCCAGATGTTGCTGGACCCCCAGCTCCCATTCACCTCAACCAGCATGGCCAATGGTCAAGAATGCTGGGAGTTCTGGTCCATGACTATCTAAAGGGTGACATGTTGCCCACCCCTACCAAGCAACTCATTGAAATGAACCTGTTTGCAAGACCTAATTATTGGCAGTTACCCTTTTTCTTTACTGGCAGTGTCTGTACAGGCAGCAGTGTTGTAGCCGGCCCCAAGAGATATCCAACCAGCAGTGTATGTAGGAGCAGTGATTAGTGAAAGCTTCATTGGTTCAATTTCAGCCTGCTACTAAGCTGTTATAAACAAAGCAGCCCTGTCAGCAGGGATGGGGAGGGAGAGGTGGTAACTGGGGGAGTGGAAGCCCTTTGAAACATTAAAACAGTCCCAATTTAGCAAACCACTGCCCCCAACAGAAGACCGGAGTTGCTATATCCTCATTTATTTTTATTAAAAGAAGGCTAAATGTGAAGTGAATTATATTACTGCTAAAAGGCTTTAGCAAGTCTGTTCCAGACATTTCCTAGCATCAATGGTGGGAGCAAAATCCTTGCTCTGCCATCTGGGACGAATGCCCTGGTTGAGATCCATAAGCCAGATGACTATCCCTGTGTATCTCAATGCCATTCTCTTCCTTTACTGTGTAGATAATGCTTTCTGGTGCTTGACCGACTGTGTCAAGGCTTTGTTTTAATGAAAGAAGAAATAGCTTTGCTGCTTCCATTGATTTCTTTCGGAAAGGTTCAGTTAAGTGAGAGGATGCACAGTAGGGCTTGTGCTACGTTGGAAGCAACTCCTTGCAGCACAGGTCATAACAGAAGGAAAAGGAAAACCCCAAATGTATTGTGAGCTCATCAGATGGAAAGGTGGCCACGAAAGTAGGGCAAGATTAACTGTGGTGGATGTGAGTTTTCCATGATGCATGATGAGCACAAGAGGGGAACAATTATTTCCATTGTCAACAGTGCAAAGTTCTATTTACATTCTTCAATAAATGAATGACAGTTAAACATATTATACTAAGGGAAATCCTCAACTCCCACTCCCCCCACCCCTGCAAAAAAAAAGAAGTTTGTTTTTAAATTGTTTCCAATGTTTAGCCCTTATTCTCAAACACCTGTCAGTACCAGACACTACAGTGTATGCAGCATCTGTTAAATAGGCAGGGATATATACATTTATATACATATATCTAAAACAGGAATAAGTAACTGCAGTGTTTCATGTGACATTGCAAGACTTTTGTTCCCATTAAGTGTTTAGAGAGGACCAAATTCAGGTGTTAAAATGGTACCACAGGTCCTTACTGGAAGGAGGGATTGAGAAGATGACAGTGACTATGTGATCTGGACATAGCACAACTCAATCCTCTCTCACTGATGTGCTCCTTCCACCCCCAAAAGATGTGGCTTCTAAAGAAAGCGGCTGACCATCACTCTATTTCACAATGCCAGAGACTTCTGCTTTGCACTGGCACTGCTGAATCATCCAAACTTCCTGGATTTTAATGTGCAAATTCAAGCTAGTCAACGCTTCTCTCTTCAAACTTTGGATTGCCTTTCATCTGTCCATTCCTGCTTAGTGTTCTGGAGAGCTTGAGTTCTTTGCTCATCTACTTGGACATAATCCACTCTTTGTTCTTCAGATAGGAAAGGTTTCTGCCAAGGTGAAGGAAATGAAACAAACAAACAAACAAACAAACATATGTGAGGACGTGCAAAACATGAACACAGCTACAACTGGGCTTCTGTCAATTCCCCCCTCCTCTCCAACCTTAGCTGGCATTTCTTTTTTCACCTTGAAGCCAGGGGTGACATTAGCAAGCAAGCAAGCATGCCTGTTGTCTTGCTACTGGTTTCAGACATAATTCCCCATCTGCTACCTTGTCACACAGCCCAGAACAGGCCTGGCAGACACAGGAAAGTGCAGTACAGTGATATGTTCACCTTGAGATGAAGGGAAAATGGTTTTCCTCTGAGTTAAAGCTCTTGATCAGTCAAGACTGGAGTGGGTTTCGAACCCAGAGAATTGCCTCTGAGGTAAGAGTGGGGAATGTTTTTCAGCTCAAGGGGAGCATACCCTTTTGGTGACTTTCTGGGGACTACATGCCAGTGACAAGCAGGGTCAGAGGCAAAAGTTGGTAGAGCAAGGGATGTGAATTTTATCTTCATATTCGCACCCCTCTTCAACTTCCATGGAGGCAAGCAAGAGGCAGCCAGTGAGGAGTATGGAAGAGTTCCAAGGGCTAGATACAAAGGCCTGGAGGGCCACACTCAGCTCCTGGGCCCAAGATTCCCCACCCTTGATTTGAAGAAGCACTAACAATACTCTGCTCACTTGTGAAAAAAAGGAAGCAGGTATTGGATATTACATGCCACCATTTAATTTTTATTACTGATGTCAGGGAGCGGCAGCAGAAGTTGTTGTGAGCAAGGCCTACCTTTTGTACAGGAGACGGAGAAGCGGAATTAAAATCCAGTGCTAAATAATCAAGGCTGAAGTTCTTTGGCCATTGGAATGCTCCATTGCATGGAGATGTTGCTTGCTCCTGTTGAGAATGAACCATGACCATAAGAAAATGAAGAAATAGGCATGTTCAAAACAAATTTAAAAATTTAAAAGACTCCTCCTTTCCCTCATGTTCTACAGCAGGGGCAGGAAGCCTTCAGCCCACAAATCATATTGGCTCACCAGGTTTTCCAATTTAGTTTACTAGGGCTGATGGGCAGGCTTGATTGCTGCAGAAAGTCGATTACCCACTAACTGATGGGTGAGGAGGGGATTCAAGCTTGCTCAGTTTGGCTGTCCATGCCAAATTCCTTGAAGGGTTGATCGCTGAAGAAAGGACTGAACCCTCAACCCATCAGCTGATGCACAAGTTGTTCAGTCCTGCTTAGCCTCTACCTCCCGCCACCCCCAGTGGCCAACTTTGACAGGTGGGTTGTTCCATCCACTTGTCACAGGTATCTTGTTAAAGAACTGGCCCATTGGGCGAAAAAGGTTCTCCACCCCTGCACATAATCATGCTTTAGCAAGAGAGGCAGCTTCCATATTATTTCCATATTTCCATATTATTTCAACATCTCTACGGCTCCCAATCCTTCTCGTCCCGGCTCTCACCAGGCCATTTAAGGCACCTCTGTTGTTCAAGGGAAACATTTGCATAGACTGCAGTCTTGGCCAACCTGGTGCTCCCCAGAAGTTCTGGACTATGGGCTTCTGCTAGGAGGTATGCCCCCTGCAAATGATCTGGAGGGTGCCAGGCTAGGGAAGGCTAACCTTGTACAATGCAAAAAGACAACAAAATGTTAGGAACATAGGAAGCTGCCTTATACCCAGTCAGATCACTGGCCCTTGTAGCCCAGTGTTTCCTACATTAAGGGTAGCCAATGTGCTGTCCTCCAGATACTGTCAGGATGCAACTCCAATCAGCCACAGCCAGCATGGTCAATTGCCAGGGATAATGGGAGTTGTAGTCCAGCAACATCTGAAGGGCATTACATTGGCTACCCCTGTTTTGCCCTCACTGGCAGTGGCTATCCAGGGTTTCTGGTAGTCTTTCCCAACACTGCTTGGAGATGTTAAGGACTGGATGTAGCCCCACAGCATGTAAAGCAGTTACTTTTATTACTGTGCTACAATCCTTCCTTGTAGTGTTTGGGCTCGGAACATACCATATACAGAGACAGACCACTGGTCTATCTAGTTTAGTACGTCTGCACCACTATTCCCCAACCTGGTCCGCTTGTCATACTACAGCTCCCAACATACTTTATGACTGGCCATGCAGGAGCCATAGTCCAAATCATCTGGGTGGCACCAGGTTGGGGAAAGGTTATCTACTACACTTACTGGCAATGACTTTCCAGGGTTTCAGGCAGCGTCTCTTTTCCAGCCCTAGCTGGAAATACAGGAATAAGACATGGGGTCTTTTGTACATAAAACGCTAGCTCAACCATCAAGCTACAATCTTTCCCCAACATATCTCCCTGGAGTTTTGTGCGCTCTTAAGGGGTTCCATAAAGGCTCTTGTCTAAAAATGGTAGGGAAAATTTTGAGGTTCTCTCTTTGCCTCCAGCAAATCACCATGTATATGTTTGAGATTGCTTGGAGATGTGCCACCAACACTTGTGGGAACAACGGAGATCTGTAGGAATGGGAAAAAGGCTTCCCTTATCACTGCGTCAATTGGCCCTTGTGTGCCTGCACTAAATTTCTTCAGTAGGGCAAAGGGGAGCCCCTGCCACATGTTTGGCTGAAAAATTTGACTTCTCTGAGCCTTTCCGCTCACATGATTTGTCAAAGGAGAGTTGCATGAAAATGATTACCATTTGAATGTAACTTTCTTCTTCCTCTCCGGAAACTGAACTGGCAAATACTCTCGCTGAATTAATGCAGTCTCTTTCTGGAGAGATAAAGCTTGTTCGATTGCTAGTGCAGGAGGAGGAGGAGGGTGGGGGAAACCCAAAACACAAACAAAAGAGAAGTCAAAGAAGAGTTTTCACAGATGCTCTGAAACCAAGCCAAAACCTGACGTTGCCCAGTGTGGGGAATAAGCCCGCCCAAAACCCAGCAACACTACAGAGGTTAAGTTAGCTAACAAAGGAGGTTACAATCTCATCAGTGTCCTCTTGGGAAATTAGTCATTTCTGCAAACCAATCTGACAGTAAAAATGGCCGCCATGGCATTATGGGAAAGCTGCAGACATCAAAGAATGGTCAAGGAAGGAGCATAAACAGAGGCAAATGTCCATCACATCAGGGGCTTAAACACTTGTCTTGCTGTATGGCTAGCAACAGTTTTGGAGGCAAAAACAAATTAATTAGCTACTGCAACTATATGCAGAGGAACTGCAACCGCCATGAATCATCTGCAAAAAGATATGTTATTTGCACATGGGAAATGTCTGCTACTCAGTCCTCTTACAAAGTAAAAAATGCTGCCAAATCCATTGCCAGATATGTCTGTGTAATGTTTTTCAAACCAACCACAAGTTCTCAAGACATCATCTTAAGAGGAAAGCTGGCAAGCTAGATATTTCCAGTGTTCATCAATGAACTTTATCCTTTTATTCACTGTCCCATCTTTTTACCAAATTCAGGGGCAAGCACCCCCTGGTTTTATCAGGTAAATGCAAATGGAAGCATCTTACAAAGCTGGTTCAGGGCTCTAGCACAGATCTTCAAGTGTGCAAAAGTAGTGCTTTGTTACGTATCTTAAGGCATCCAACAAAAACATCTTCTCCCATGCCTTTTATTAAACAAACTATGGCCTTTTAAACTGGGTGGGTGGGGTATTATTATTGTTTATAACTATGGTATGTATTTTTGTGTTTTTATATTACAAACTGCCCTCTCATCCTCAGATAGAAATAACAGTACAGTGATATCCTCAGGTTACATACGCTTCAGGTTACAGACTCCGCTAACCCAGAAATATTACCTCAGATTAAGAAATTTGCTTCAGGATGAGAACAGAAATTGTACAGCGGCAGCAGGAGGCCCCATTAACTAAAGTGGTGCTTCAGTTTAAGGACAGTTTCAGGTTAAGAACAGACTTCCAGAATGAATTAAGTTCTTAACCTGAGGTACCACTGTATAGAAACAACAACAACACTTTCCTAGTTTGGACTACAACATTCACACATAACCAACAGCCTGATCCTCTCTGAAATCTCTAGGACGTGTGATGCTGCTGAACTACAACTCCCATCATCCCTAACAATTGACCATGGTGGCTGGAGGTGATGGACATTGTATTACAACATCTGAAAGGCACCACACCGGTTACCCCTCTTTTAAGAGGACAGGCTAATAGAACTGTGGTAGACCAGTAGTAGGTACAGTGGTACCTCGGGTTAAGTACTTAATTCGAGGTACCACTGTACTGAGGAACAGATCAACACAGTGGATAGGATGTTACAGTATCAGTATGATTTGCCATCATCCACAGCTAGCTACTAAACGGCCAAGAAAGAATGGGTGAAGAGAGATAGAGTGCATACTCATAAGCAGAACTGGAGCACAAGCCATCTCAGGGTAAACTAGACCAGTCCTCCAGACATTCTAGACTACAACTCCCATCAGCGCTTGCACAAACAGCCAATGGTCAAAGATGATGAGAACTGTAGCCCAACATTTCTGGAGGGTAACAGGTTGGGGAAGGCTGAACATCCCAAAAGGAGATGGTGAAAAGTCTATGGAGGATTTGATTTTTTTAATTGAAAAGCAGGTGCCATGAAGAATCAGCTGGAGCACAGGTATGGCGGAGGGGAAGGGATTCTTAACCCTTTCCCCTCTCACCTTCTGTCCATCTAGAATTATGTTCCTGATATTACTTCTCTCCCCAGTGTTTTGCTCCATGGTATGAAAGCAGAACATTTCTCAGAAAGCTAATGTCTGAGAAATTTAGGCTCAGTTAATACTGATAGAAATATATATTCCTGTGTTTTACACACATATATATTTATGTATATGTATGTATGTATGTATGTGCGAGAATGAAGAAAATGGGCTGGGGAGAAGAAGTGGAAGGAACAGGTAACAAGCTTACTGCTTCTTACAACAATACTGAAATATACTGAATTAACTCTGTAGCTGCAACCAAAATTCTCAAATGGCTGCTGAAACAAGCAAGGCCTCTTTAACTAAATAGGCTTCTCCCATTGTGGGCAGAGCTAACCACCCTGGCTGAGATAAACCTCTGCTTAAATACTCAGTTATGAGTTATCTGTTGCTGAAGCAACATTCACAACGGATGCCGGTTACTGCTGTTGCATTCAGGTCCTGCTTATGGGCTTCCCATAACATCCTGTAAGAACAGGATGTTGAACTCTGGCCTGACCTCTTTGTACGCTGTAATACAATTTGCTCTAGCTGGAGTTTCACATGGAGCCATCCATTCCAATCTTGCATTGCCTCAACTAACCCTGCTTGCAGGAACCTGACCTCTTTTTCCACGAACCCCCTACTTTAGCCAGAATGCTCTTTCCATTGGAGTCATCAGTTGGAGCAGAACAGTTGTGAAGATATAATAACTACATATCCACCTAATCTGGTTTACTAAGGAAACTCCCTGGGGTGCCAGTAGAAAGGCAGGAACCCCTCAAGGTAGGGATAGCCAATGTAGTGGTCACCAGATATTAGGAATATAGGAAACTACCTTATACCAAATTTGACTGTTGGTCCATCTAGTTCAATACTGTTTACAATGACTGACAGGATTCTGCCCTAGTCCTACCTGGAGCTTCCAGGTTTTGGAACTTAGACCTTCTGCATGCAAAGCAGATGCTCTAAAACTGAGCTATGGCCCTTCCCCGATTTTGTTGTATTCAAACTCCCTTTAGTCCAAGTCAGCATGGGCAAAGGTCCAGGGTGATGGGAGCTGCAGTGCAACAATATCTGGAGGGCACTGTGTTGGTTATCCCTGCTCCAAAGATCACCATTGAGTTAGCAGAGACATGTGCTGTCTTAAAGCAAGAATGATGCAAATCTCTGTTTAATTAAAGCCAACTTAATTTTGGGAGGAAAGAAAAACATTTTCTTGTCTTCTTAAAAAGCAAGGATGAGATCCACAGAATTTGTATTGAAAGTTTGTTTAGAAACTTTGCTTACAGTCTCCCTGTGGAATGAGACAATATATAAATAATTTTCCTGTAAGGAATGCTAATGTTTAAAAGAAACGTCATTAAAACTAAACAAGGTTGGATCAACACTACATGTGAAGCACAATTTATTTGCCCATAACTCACAGAAACAGTGCAACCGAATCAGAGTATCAAATGATGTTTGCTTTGGGCTGATGTTTGTTCAACATTCACAGCTACACTACACTTGATCTTAGAACTGTCATCTTCAAGCAATAGTCAAGTCAGCTTCCTATTTATTTTTTATTTTGCTATCCTTATAGCATAAAATGCAAAAAATGCAGATTTTCAGAGCAAGGATTGATTTTTCTAAAAAACTGAAATTATAAAATAGATTTTAAGAATCTATATAGGATTTTAAATATCAAGTTCCACTAAGACTTAAACAAACCTGGTTTAAAATGTTATTTGAATATAATACAAACATATTACAATTTACACACATAATGATGGTCCTTCATCAAACATAGTCTGCTTTTCTATGCAAAAAATGCTCTATTCAAAATTCAGACAACATTCTATGAACCAAGAGCAAAAATATGTAGTTTTTGACTTGAGACTGAGCATTATAATGACACAATAGGCCATATATTGCATGTTGCTGTGTACATCATGAATATTTGGAGTTTGTCCACTAAACAGCATGCAAATTACTTTCCATGTCACAGGGAAACACCTTTCTTCCCAACTCTACCACTATCCTTTCCTTCTAGAAAGTTTATCTTCAAGTGAATTATCTTACACCTATGCCTTACACGGGTTTAGAAACAGAAATGATTGTTTCAGTTGCTTCCCGAAGCAGATATGTGAACCAGGCACACAGACTAGGGACTCGGCTACATTGGCAAATAAGTGCTTTAGATGTGGTTTATGCATTCTAACATTGTGACACCAGATGGCGCTGTGGAGTTCCATTTTTACCAACCCAATTTCTCACAAAATTTGCAACTCGTTTAACTGAAACGCTTCTTTGATGCGTCTAGATCCAACCTAGGTGGAATTTATGTTCCAGGATTGTATACTGGCTCTAATTAGTTGCAAGTAATACTTGCTGTGTTTGTTATATTATGGAAGCTTGTGGAGGCAGTATGTATAAGGAGATTCAACATTGGCAGTTTAAACTTGCTCTCCTTCTCTGCAAGTAAAACCATAACTTAAGTGAATTATATTAACATTGTTTGGGTATAAATCAGGTGTGGTGATATCCTTTCTGGCCTCAAGGCCAAAACTTAATGAATGTCAGATTTGATGTGGCAGAAGAAGAAGAAAAAAATCTTTTCTTTTTTAGTACATTATTCTGAAATAGTAGCTGAATAATAACAATGTCATATGGCAGTATGCAACAAAACAAAACAGAAAACCAAAGGGAACAACTATGCCACCAGAAAAAAAGTTAAGTGTGAAAAACCCTAAAAGCCTTTTGACTTGGTATGCCTCTCCAAATGTATTATAACATTATAATTAAAAAAAGTATTCTGAGTGTACTTGTTTTGACACTTACCTCTGCTTTGTGATGTCCATATTACCCATGAGTGTATGTGTGAGGCCTCGTTGGTGAAAGAGCAGTAAGTTGTTCATTCATGAACCATACAGCTCAGCAAGATACTAGGTAAACGCCCCCCATACTGAGATCCAGGGATACTATTTTAATAGTTCCTCCAACCATCTGCCAAGGCCAATCTCCTAAAAAAAATGTTGGAACAGGTTTCACACCCACTTACTAAGGCACAGTCCACGTCCTGGTTAAGGCAGCATGTTCTCGGATGGTGGAAAGGTTTCGCAGGTCCAGCGGAGGTGGTCGGACTGAAGATTTAAAGAGAGAAGACTTCTTACTGCCACAGAGCTGGCCAAAGACAGGGGCAGATCCAGTTGTAAAGTTGCTGTGTGGGTAGCTGGTTACTTAACAGGATGGAAGCAGTTCCAAGAAAGGAAGTTTATGACATCAGGGGGCTCGTACTGTGGACTCAGGTAGCAGAGCTTCCTTAATTTCTTTAGAGAGCCACAGTGGTGTAGTGGTTAGAGTGTTGGACCAGGACCTTGGAGGCCAGGGTTCAAATCCCCACTTGCCATGAAGCTCACTGGGTGATCAATCACTGCCACTATGACTAACCTACCCCACATGGTTGTTGTAGGGATTGAGGAGGGTGAGAACTATGTTCTCCTTCAAAGAAAAGGTGGGATATAAGGTGGGATATAAATGCAATAAAATAAATATTCTTGCTACTCCAAAGTAGCTCATAGGCTGCAGGAGTTTCTAGTCTGATCTTTCCAGGGTAACAGCACCACCCTTTTAATGATCAGGGAAGGTACTGCAATCTCATCAACACAAGCCAGGTCTGGTGATTTGAGGCGACCAATGGGGACCTGGCTGGCTCTAAATAACTGTTGCTACAGGCTTGGTCTGAGCATCTTGTTCACCAAGTAGCAATGAAGCCCCTCCATCTCTTCCCGTCTGCAACCTGACAACAGCCCATCCACAACCACATCTCCTGCTTCTAAGTCCTTTTCCTCAACCATCTCATCTACCTCTGCATTTTTTTTTTAAACATTGCTCTGGCCTGCACTCCTGCAGGCCAGATTTTGTACAGTTCAGATACCAGTTTAGTTCCTCTGGAAAGCCAGACCAACCTCCTGGCTTTCCAACTCCACTACTAAGACTGCAGTCCCAAAGACACCTACTTCTTGAGTGACTTCTGAGAATAGAAAAAACACACCTCAAGCCAGTAGTTAACAAGTGACCCACCCAATGAATGTCGTATTTGCTCAAACGTCAGCTGTTTGTTCTGTCCTTTGCAAGGCCAGCTCCAAGTTTGAGCAAATCAAATTAATCATAGGGGCCTCTGGTGGGGGTCCCTCATATACTAGTGGGTCCTCAGCCCTGGGTTTACCTCAGGGTTGTGAAACTGGATCTGGGCAGCAGATCACGTCCCAACTCCTCTGTGGGCCAGTCACCTGCCAATCTCCTGTCATCACCATGACAGCAGGTAGCCCATTTTCACGTGGATAGTTTGAAATCAAGCCAAGAGGGCACAGCCACAATCCGGAAAGCTTCATCAATCCCCACAAGGGTCTGCAGGTGTCATCAAATCTGATTGGCAGCACAAGCAAACCCCCATTCTGCCCAGTCCAACTTTTACTTGCTTCACACCACTCATACGAAGGGAATGGGAGTGTGGTTTGACTGAAAAAGCCTCACAAACCAATGGGAAGGTCCGGCAGGCCTAATTCGGCCTGTGGGCCAGAGGTTGCCCACCGCTGGCTTACTTGATGGCAGAATTGGAAGCAGAGTGCCAGTGAAGGCACTGTGGAAAACTAAAATGGGAGCTTGCAGACCTAGCCACTGTATTCAGGACATGGCCCTAGGCTGAATTTGTCCTGGACTTGTTCACTGTCCCCGATATCCACTTGCTGGACCCATCAAATCAACTCCCGAAACTCCCAAGATAAACACATAGAGGTGCTCGAAAAACAGCTTGCAGAAAGACAAGCTTACATTTTCGACGAGGCTTGAGATCCCGGTTCACCGGAGGTGGTTCCAGGTCTGTGGGGAGCTCAGGCAGAGGGCTGGAGATTTTTTCTATGCTGGCTGCAGAATGGATAAACGTAGCTGAGCCTGGACTCATGGGAATGTAGCCGTCAGGTGTGCAGTCAGATCCTGGGATCGGTGGGGAGATGCTGGGGTGCATAGGCACATAACTGTCCTCGGAACTATTTGATGTGCAGGAGTAGAGAGGGCTAAAACGACTTGGCTTCAGAAATAAGCACAGGGAAAGGGAAAGGGAAAGTTGGTTAACAAAAGGGTTCCAAATCAGAAATCAGGGCCAAACCTTGGACCTATCCATCCACTCTCCCCAGGATTCTCTCAGGTTCAGCCTCCTGACTAGCTTGGAGTCCTGCATCAGGAGTGAGAAGCATGGGAGCTAAATGCAACCTTCCAGGCCTCTCTTGTATGGCCCTCATGAACAGACCCCATTTCCTGTGTGCATACCCCATTTAGCTCTGGGCTAAATTCCACCCTAATAATTTTTCAAGTCTGAAAAATGGCATACTGGAAGTTTGGATTTCTTGGGCTAACCAGGAGGAAGACGACTCACTAATAACTGTATTAGTATTATTATTGTGATGTTTTTTGTTGTTTTGTATATAATTAAAAAAATTGTCCAATAGCACCTTAGAGACCAACTAAGTATGTTCTGGGTATAAGCTTTCGTCTGCATGCACACTTCTTATACCCAGAACAAACTTAGTTGGTCTCTAAGGTGCTACTGGACAATTATTTTAATTATTTTTTTTGACTGCGTCAGTCCAACACAGCTACCTACCTGAATCATGTATATAATATGCTTTTGTGGTTTTTAGCTGCCTTACTAATGTACCATATTTATGCAAATGCCATTGCATCTAATGTGCACCTCAGTTTTCAAAACCTTGAAACCAGAAAAGTATTTGCTGGCCCCATCAAATCTAATTTTCACAAAGGAATTTGGCCAAAAAAAGGTGTATATTACATTCAATTAAATATGGTACATTGTTTAAATATATTTAATTTATTACGTTACTTTAGAACAACATACAGAGGAAGCTGCCTTATTGGTCCATCTTGCTTGGTATCCTCTACACTGACTGGCAGAAGCTCTCCAAGGTTTCAGACGAGGATCTCTCTCAACTCCACCTGCAGATGCCGGGGATTGAACCTGCATGCAAAGCAGATGCTTAACCACCGAGCTACATCCCTTCTGTTCATACTTAAAATGTGGAATTATTGTGATCATTATTACAGTAAACTTGGTATTAATACTGTTTCATTCTGAATGTGGAATTGGCATTGTATATCTTACATCGATTCCTTTTTGTTGGAATTTGTAAACTGCCCAGAGACCTCTTTTGAAACGTGGGACGGAAAATGAATTAACACATAAATATTATGGACAGTTGGGGCTTCCAACAAAATGTTGCAACATGGAGTGCTCTTGTTTAGTGTTCTATGCCTAGTCCTTCTTTCAGGACACTCCATTCCTGTCCTCTCATTGTGTGAGTCCAATTCAGATTGGAGCTATGTCAATCAATCATCACCACCATATGTTTTTGTTGAACTACAACTCCCATAATCCTGACAGTTTAGCTAATGGCCAGGCATGATGGGACTTGTAGTCCAACCACATCTGGGGTCCGAAGGCTGAAGAACCTTGGTTTTGCTTTTACCATGTCAATATGTATGTATGTAATGGAGCAATTCCTTCTCTCTCTCTCTCTCTCTCTCTCTCTCTCTCTCTCTCTCTCTCTCATAATCTTTGATTTGAATTTGCAACATTCTGACTGCACCATCCTTGGCAGAAACAGACAGTGGAAGAAGGACAGAGCCCTTGATATATCCTCAGCATTATTTCATATTTTTCAATTGTAAACCACCCTCTGATCCTTAGATGAAGGGATAATTAATTAATTAATTAATTAATTAAATTATCAGTGGAAGAGCACTTGCTTTGCATGCAAAAGGCAGCAGGTTCGGTCTCCAGACATCACTGAGAAAGTCCTCTGTATGAAACCCTGGAGAGCCACTGCCACTATACTGAGAAATAAGGCCCATTTGATCCAATGGGGCTTACTCCCAGGTAAGTGGGCACAGAGCTGCAGCCTAAACCAGTGTTTCCCAAACTTGGTTCTCCAGCTTTTGGTCTACAACTCCCATCATCCATAGCTAGCAAGACCATTGGTCAAGGATGATGGGAATTCTATAGGGCTGCCATACGTTTGGAATTTCCTGGACATAGCCGAGATTTGTCCATTGAAAATAGTGTTCGGGTGAAATTTATGAAAAGCAGCTGAAATGTCTGGGGAAACCCAGGCATTATGGCAGCCTATATAGGAAGTGTTGATTTTTTGGCGATTTCCCTAAAAAATAGGGAGGGAGAACTTAATTCTTTTTTTGGAGCTCAACTTTTGTGTCCAGATGTTCACTTTTTGAAATATGGCAACCATAGAATTGTAGTCCAAAAACAGTTGGGAGACCCAAGTTTGGGAAACCTTGGCCTAAACATATGAAAAAATGCTAACTGTTATTTTATTACATTGGATTGGGTAACGATTTATTATATATTGATCAGACAGCATAGGCTGGTTAATTTCTTGTTAATGTTCACTTCTAAAACCATGCTAAATAAGGGTGGGTGTGTGTGTGTAAGACAGTACTGCACTTACCAGATTCAAGCTAAGCCTCTTATCCCTGCGTCTTAGGGAATTTCCTTCCAAGTCAGCTGCAAATCAAAAAAAGAAAAAAGAAAACCCATAACAATTTAATTAGCTATTCAACAAAAGGTAGGTCTTGGAGGATACAATCCTAGCCTGTTGTGTGCAGTTTGAAGGTTCTGCTTTCACCTGCTTGCTGTGTGAAAATTTACTTAACCAAACATAAAGAATTGTGCCCAAACCTCACTATACACACCAGATTCAGATATCCAAACATCCAGAGTTTGTCCATTTCATTACCTGTTTGTGCTAAGCTGGTTGGTGACAGCCTTTTCCAGGCAGCAACCATGCAGGGAGGGAGAAAGCGAGATCAGACAAATCAAAGAGGAGGAGAGATTGAACAAATCCATTGACTTCCACTCTCTCCTGATGTTCTGTCTTTTGCAAAGTCAGATCGAAAGCATCTCTGGGCAGAGATCCCTTTTTTTCTTGGCTTATTCTGGAGGGGAGTGTGTCACACACACCCACACACACCCCGTGTGCTGAAAGGTGATATGGAAGGGCCTGTGAGGCTGTATGGGCAGGCCCTGCTCCATGCCACAGTCTCTAGCACTCAGACTACGTCAGAAGGAGTTCCACTTGCATACTAGTGAGAGCATGGCGGGTTCTCCATTGTGAGGTGGGACATTCTCCACACACAATATATGCCCTGGACATTGGTGGATGTATAGAAATTAACAGCAGTAAACTGGGGCCGGGGGGGGGCAAGGTTGGGCATTTGCCAGGGCCCCCTAGAGCAAAATGGGGCCCCACTGCCCACACAGTGTTACCCATTCTACTTTGCACAAAGTATCCAAGAAGATCAGCCAAAGAGAATTCTCGAATTGCATGTCCAGCTCTTCCAGGTTAGGGTGGCCAAAATCCTGGAGCCAACATAGATCAGAGCTGCAATGTAGTCAGCTAATGAGTTAAACTGCAAGTCAATTAATAAGTAAACTAATAGACAAAGAATAAAATTGTGGGTTTCCCATCTGGAAAAGCTCTTTAAGAATATGCTCTGTGTGTGCACATGTCTCTGTGTTTACGTGTAAAGTAGCACACATGCTTTTAGAAAGTCTGCTTCCCCAGCAACTCAAGGCTGTTAGTGAGAATAACACTTCCAGTGATGGGTGTTTCTCTCAAAAGCTTCCAAGAACTGCACAGGACACTGATAAAATGAGCTGGTAAAAACATTCTTCAGAATTATCTGAAGGTGTGCAGAGGGCCTCTCTTCAAGGCAGAAAGACGAGATACACAGTTGTTAATAAATTAAAACAAAATAGGTTCCATACAATGCAACGTGCATATTAAAAAGCAACAGGAGTAGTAGCAGCAGTTTGTGGCTGCCAGTTTGTTTGTGGGCCCAATTCAAGATCCTCACACTAGTACTTAAAGCCCTAAACAACTTAGGCCCCAAACATCTGAGAGACCCCCTCCTTCTCCTACAGGCCATTGTAGGATGTTGAGATCAGCCCAGGGGGCCCTCTGGGTAGTTGTGCCATTCTCAGAAGTTCAGGGTGGTAGCAGCTTGGGAGAGCAAATTGTCTGTGACTGCCCCTAATTTGTGGCATTCCCTTCTTAAATAGATGTTTCTGGCACCTTCACTATACAGCTGTTGGCGAATGCAGAAGCCGCACATCTTTACCCTGGCCTTTGACACCAGAGAAGAATGTTTTCAAGAGCCACCCTATACCTGTGACTATTCCTGTGACTGTCATTTGTTTTAACAGCTTTTAACACTGACAGCAGCCACGAAATTAAAAGACGCCTGCTTCTTGGGAGAAAAGCAATGACAAAGCTAGACAGCATCTTAAAAAGCAGAGACATCACCTTGCCAACAAAGGTCCGTATAGTTAAAGCTATGGTTTCCCCAGTAGTGATGTATGGAAGTGAGAGCTGGACCATAAAGAAGGCTGATCGCCGAAGAATTGATGCTTTTGAATTATGGTGCTGGAGGAGACTCTTGAGAGTCCCATGGACTGCAAGAAGATCAAACCTATCCATTCTGAAGGAAATTAGCTCTGAGTGCTCACTGGAAGGACAGATCCTGAAGCTGAGGCTCCAATACTTTGGCCACCTCATGAGAAGAGAAGACTCCCTGGAAAAAACCCTGATGGAGGGCACAAGGAGAAGGGGATGACAGAGGACGAGATGGGTGGATAGTGTTCTCGAAGCTACCAGCATGAGTTTCACCAAGCTGCGGGAGGCAGTGGAAGACAGGAGTGCCTGGCGTGCTCTGGTCCATGGGGTAATGAAGAGTTGGACACGACTAAACAACTAAACAACAAACAACACTGATTTTTAAATTGTTATAACCCTCACTTGGATCTGCTGGTGAAGGGCAGGGTAAGGAGGAGGAGGACGAGGAGGACTTCACTTACTCTTCCTTTCAAAATGTGAATGGCCATACTAATTAAAATGTTCCTATGGTCAATTGTCTTGTCCAGTTTTTGCCTCCCTGATATTTTCCAGATGTTTCAGATTATAACTCATAGCAACCAGCACAGCCTCCTTATTCTGCCCGTTTCAACTTGGTTATCAGTCTTCTTAACTTAAGCACGAGGAGTGTGTTCATTCAACAGAATGTTCATTTCCTCACTTATTTAAAAGAAAACACTCACAGAATCCCAGTTTTTCCGAAGTTGAAAAACTGTTCTGGAGTGGCCCTGTAACAGACATCACAGGGAGCAAACCAATCAATATGGCTTACGGTCAGTTACAGCTGCAAGCTTATTTCATTTATCTGAGACATTTGTACCCCCAACCACTTCAATAAAATTCCAAGGTTAGCTTACGAAATGTAAATGCAGTTTGAAAAGGTACAAACAATGTAAAACAACAACAACCAGAATAAGAATAGTAACATCACCAAGAGCAGCATAAAATACAAACACACAACCCTCCCTTCAAAACCAGCAAAGATGAAAGACATCAAAACAATAATCAGCACCAGAAAAATTAAGAAGTCTTCCTTCACTAAGCACTATAGCAGCAGTAGGTCCTAACTCACTAGTTGAAGACCAGTGCTATGGATAGGGATTGGGGTGGGGAGGATTTAGTTCAATCTGCATTTAAAGCTGAATTTATCAAATTCAGAGTTTCCAGAGCAATAGGAGAACCAAAACTAAGCCACCCTTCAAAATCTGAACTTCTCCCATGTTTGCAATGTGATGCAGTTCTCCAACCAAATAACGTTAAGGGCAACTGTGTGTAAAAATAATAGTATTCATCAAAATAACATACAAAAATGCATTAGGATAAGAGAAATTGTTTTCCAAAAATGTGCACATCAGTCAAAAGAGAAATTACTTCCAAAAATGTGCACATCAGTCAAAATTGCAGACAAAAATGTGTTTTTTAGGATAAATATGTACCTAAACGTTGAAGAATTTTCAGGAGGATTTTTTTGACAGCAACAACAACAAAAAAAATCATGAGTTGCTACAGAAACGTGGAGAACTGAATTTAAGATGGGAAAAACAAGAAACCTAGAGAACTCAAATTGACAATTCCTTCCACTCCCAGCTATGGAGTAAGGGTGGAACAAACTCTGAAATTATACAAACCAGGGACGGTCAAATGAGCTCAGGAAGGCAAATCTTAACAGACAAGACCATTCACATCCTTACCTCTCCAACTTCTCATGCTGTCCAATCCAGACAAGGAGATTCTCCTTGGCACCAATGCCCCTTGAGCACACGAGATCCCAACGTGTCCATTCTGAAGGGCCCCACTGGATGGCTCTTCAACCCGTTTGTCTGCAAAGTGGGTTGGCTTAGGAGGCCTTGGTGGTGGGGTATTGCCCAGAACATCAAGTTCAGTAATGCCATAGGAAAGAGCACTCGGGCTTTTATCAACCAATAAGGTTGGTGTCAAGGGAGGTCCTGAAAGTGGTGAGGAAGAGGAGAAATCGCTAGAAGGGGGACCGCTTGAATCTGCATTCTTGAGAAGAGCCCCATGACCCATTGTCTGGGGCATCTCTTGCAGCAGGATGCCAGAAGGCTGTAGATAAAGTGAGGGCTGAGATGCCACAAAGTCAACAAAGACATCGTCTGATGAAGTCTGCTCCAGGGATCGGTCAGAATTGGACCAGCTGTGGCACCTGAAAGGAAAACAAAACAAAACAAAACAAAACTAGTATAGATGTTACTTATGTTGCAGAACATAGGAACAGTGGTGGCCAGTGCCCATTGGCCACTGGTAAGGAGGAAGGAAGGAAGAGCAGCAACAGTCAACGAAAAGCAAAGCCACTCCATGACTGGTTGAAAGTAAGAATGAAGTCAGCTGGGTGTAGGTTGGGTGACGGTAAACTGAGATTGGTGAGGCAGTGCCCTATTTTCCCTACCATGGGAAGGAAGTTGCCTTACCTAGATGAAGAAGAAGAAGAAGAGTTTGGATTTGATATCCCGCCTTTCACTCCCTTTAAGGAGTCTCAAAGCAGCTAGCATTCTCCTTTCCCTTCCTCCCCCACAACAAACACTCTGTGAGGTGAGTGAGGCTGAGAGACTTCAGAGAAGTGTGACTGGCCCAAGGTCACCCAGCAGCTGCATGTGGAGGAGCGGGGATGCGAACCCGGTTCCCCAGATTAGGAGTCTACTGCTCTTAACCACTACACCACACAGCCTCATTATATAGTTTCCATCGTTTGCTGCAGACATACCTTTAAATCTGTGTGATGTTTGTGAGACTGCTTGTATTGTTGGATGTACATTTATCTGGTTTGGTTTGAATGTTTTACTGGATTTTATAGGATACTAATATGAATACTAATACTATTTTTATTATTTATATGCCACCCATCTGCATGGGTTGCCCAGCCACTCTGGGCAGCTTCCAGAAAAATATAAAAACACAATAAGATATCAAACATTTAAAACTTCTCTATATAGGGCTGCCTTCAGAAAGTCATACACTTATGTCTCCTTGACATCGGATGAGAAGGCATTCCACAGGGCAGGTGCCTATACTGAGAAGGCTCTCTGCCTGGTTCCCTATAACCTCACTTCTCGTAGTGAGGGAACCGCCAGAAGGCCCTTGGAGCTGGACCTCAGTGTCCAGGCTGAATAATGGGAGTGGAGATGCTCCTTCAGGTTGTAACCCACCCAGGGACCTTGTGGTGAAGCGCAGGTAAGAAATCTCTTAACTAAGCAAATCAGTGAATATGAGAAAGGGGGAAAATGTGCTTTTGCTTTCCTTCTTCCTGAATTGTGCAGGGAGGATGAGGGTTTTTTAAATACAAAAAATGTAAAGAGGACACATGCCCTAACTCTTCCCGGGATATTTAGTGTAAACTGGGGCTTGAGCAGCCTAGTTTGATCTTCTTGTGCTCATCTTCATTCCACTCTTCCCTCTTTTTTCCAACCAATACGTCAAATTATGATTAAATTATTTTGGTTAGTGTGCATTTTTTGTGTTTTTTTAAAATATTATATTTTAGTCCATATTCACAGCATACATTGAAAGTGCTGCGATACCACTTTAACAATTCTTGATTCCCTCAAAGATTCATGGAAACTGACATATGTTAAGGGTGCTGAGAGTTCTTAGGAGACCCCTATTCACCTCACAGAGCAAAAATTCTCAAGAGTTCCCTGGGAAGAGGGATTTGATTGTTAAACCACATATTGCGGTTTTGCTCCAAAGAGAATAGCATCTCTTGGGAATGAATGGGAAAAACTGCTTTGGAACTTCATCAAGCAATCTGAAATTTATGGTTCTGACATGCCTTTGGATATATATGCTAATTGTGGTTCTTGTCTGATGAATGATTATGGAATTCACTGTTGATGTTGATAAAAAAAATTAAGTTGCATAGTTGACCTTGTTGGTTCTGCCCCACCCCCACCCCAAATGTCATTGCAATCTAGATGGACATGAGGGATGCACATTCTTATCTTGTCAAAATGTCCAAATACTGCTTTAAACATCCCGTTCCCACTGCTGGATAGCTCTGCATTCTGCTTAGTTTGAGGTAGTTGGTGGAATATGTTTTTGTTTAATTTTTACTTTCCTCTAAACAGTATCAGAGTTAAAGGACAACAAAATACTTAGTTTTGTTTTAGCCTTTGTGCTAAGACTGAGGCATCAACTCTCATTGATTTACTTAACTATCACTACCATTAAAATAATTGTGATTCCAGAGTGCTTAATTTTGCTTTGTGTCCTAAATTATACCCCCCCCCCCATTCTATTCATTTCTACCTTGCCTTTCCAGGAAAGCTTTTAGGACAAGCCATCGAGGAGAACATTTTGTTGACTACAATATAGAGGAGTAATTTTATTTGTAGGGGCAATTATGTTGTTCTCTTGTGGATGCATTTGTGGTACTCATGTTTTGTTATAGCCATCGTTGAAAACAAAGTAGATATTGACTTGAAGAGGCACTCTGGAGGGTTTTTACGGTTTCAAAATATTCAGCATCTGATTGCCCTTTTAAGCGCAAAGAAGAAATTTGGGGATTATAGGTCAGGTTGACTTTTAAGGCTTCCTGCATTTTTCTTTCAGTGGAAACGCGGGTAGCTCTCTCCCCACCAAAGCAAGAACAGAATGTGATGGGGGAGCCGGAAGGGTAGGACTGTTCTTTCTTTTGGGAAAATTTACAACTGGAATAAGGAACCTGTGCCTCCTAAGCTAGCTTAATGCCCTCAGGTGTAGAGGGCTCTGTCTCATTGCCATTGTGGAATTTTACTTCAACCACTAACCTAGGTGACAAGTAAGAGAAGAAATGGGGCATTACAGGCACTTTTAGCTGGTTCCTGGGATTCTCACACACCCCTACACACTTCTTGAGCACTTTTACTGGTTGGAATATGTCCTCTGAGATGCCTTTCCCATGCCTGGATGGAGAGATGTGTATGTTGTGCGTGCGTGTGTTGTACAAAGTCACATCTATTGCTTGCTTCAGTGTTGGCCACTCCCACTTTTGCCTCTGGCCATGCCCACCACTGGCATACCCAAGTAGGGATTGGGCAAGACTGACTGCAAACCTTAAGAGCCATTGCCAGCCATGTTGAGAGTATTGAGTTATATGGTCCAATGGTCTGACTTGGTATAAGACCATTTCCTAGAATTATAAAAAGAGAAGAGGCTATCTAGGCTGTGTATACCCATGCATTTAAATCACATTACTCCGCCCCCCAAAAAATCCTGGTACCTGTAGTTTGTTAAAGGTGCTGGGAATTGTAGCCCTGGGAGGAGTAAACTACGCTTCCTATGAATCTTTTCTAGGGAAGCAGAATGAGCTTGAAGTGCATGGTGTATATGCAGCCCTGGCTTTCCCGCACCCTTACTAAAATGTAGAAAGAACTGCACGTACAATGGGTCTGGTCCATCAGCCTATGAAAAACATTCTGAAAAATACTAAGCAATGCAACCATGTGGAGAAATATTAACATCAACTTGACAGAGCTGGCCCTATGATGCAAAGGGAGGCAGCTACCTAAGGCCTCAGATGCTGAGAGGCAGAGAGCAGTCAGAGCTTTGTGCCACATAGCTTACCCTGTGCCTCCTAAGCTAGCTTTATGTCCTCAGGTGTGGAGGGCTCTGTGTCATCGCCATGGTTGAATCTTACTTCAGCCACCAAGCTAGGTGGCATTCTCATCATACAATCAAAGCACTATGATAACACAACCATGGCTTGCCTCAAAGAATTTTGGGAGCTGTAGCTCTGTGAGGGGAATAGGGAACTCAGCTCTCTTAATGAACTACAGCTCCCAGAATTCTTTGGGGGAGGTTGTGACTGTTTAAAGTGGCACCATAGAGCTTTAAATATAAGGTGTACATATGACCACAATTTATGAACTTACATCTATGTGCTAAGTTCCCTTGGTTCCAAACTTACTTTGGGAATAACCCTGTTTTGCCCCCCAAAACTGAAAGGCACTCAACCTTCCTCACTGGCCTCCAGATGTTCTGGACCACAACTCACAGCAGCCCCAGCCAGGACACGGTTGCTAATGGGAGTTGTACTTGAGCAACATCTGGAAGGCCACAAGGTTGGAGGAAGGTTGTATCAGAGAGAGTTATGGTGATACCTGACATGACTGAGTTTTCCGGTCTCACAGTTCGATAAGAACAGATAGTCAGGAAGGAAGACAGACTCTGACTCGCTTGCTGTCTCCTCTGCAGCAGAAGCATCCGCAGCAGCCTGGTCGGCCAAAAGGGAAGGGTCTGCAACCCTCAAGGCGTGGGCAGAGGCGGCTGGTGAAGGTTGCGGGGAAGTGGTGGTGTGGGAGAGGCTGTCTCCGGAATCTGTGACAAAGGAAAGAAAAGGTTATAAGTTGACGGTGCTTGTCAGGAAGTCAGTTTGGCCTTGATCCTGTAAGGGGCTTGATTCTTTCCAAGGAGTGCAGTGAAGGATTTGTGGCCTATACTAATTTCTTCATTGTTTACCTTCTGTCCGTCCAGGGTTGTTGGAACAAAGAGTAAATCTACAGTACTGAGGAAGATGAGGTCAGCACTGGAAGAAAGCCTATGTGCTGTGGCCAAATTGGACTGAAACAATCAGTACTGGTGTATACCTGGGTTTCTGTTGTTTTCTTCAGGGCCAACATTTAAAAGGAGGTTATAAATAATCTCGACTTAAAAGAAAACTTAATTTAAGAGACGTGTTCACAACATGGGTAAAATGGAATGTTTTCAATAGCTTTTTAAAACAGTTTTTTACTGATAATGTTATTCTTTTCTTCTTTACGTAAATCATTTTGAGTTTTTAAAGGGTTTTTCTTTTACAATCAAGCAGTGTGTGTGTGTGTGTGTGTGTGTATCACACAGCTGTATTTATAATCAACCAGTGGACTCATACAGTTGCAACATTTGGAAACCCATGCAGAATTTCAACACATTTTGGTGGAGTGGGGTGGGGGAGAGATGGGCCTTGAAGAATACTAGGTTTGGGGTGTTCGTTATTATCACTGAGAGCTCTATTATGTTTCCTGAAGGATTGTGTTAATGAAATGAACTTTGAGCTGATGGGGATTTTATTAATGCCAAAAAGATACTACAGCAAAAAAAAAAAAGGAAGATAAGCCACCTATACTATTTTAGGCTGGTGTTAAAGGATAACCTGGCTATCCTCTTGGGTAGCATTCTGCAGGACTCCTTAAAGTCCCCCAAATATCAGAAGCCTACTTAAGGAAGGGCTTTCAATGTGGTTGCCTTTATTCTGTGGAACAGCATCCCTTTTGAGATACAACAGACAGCCATTATCTGCATTTTCCTAAAACAACTGGAGACATTTTGGTTTCAACAGGCTTTTCCAGCTGGATGAAAATGCTGGGTGTCTTTTTGTATGGTATTTAAACTTAGCTTCAGAGGTGTTTTTTTTGGGGGGGGGGGGTTTAAGCGCTGCTTCAAAAACTATTTCTGCTTTCTTATTATTCTGATTGACTGATTATTTAATTTCTAAATAATTTCAAGATGCATGTAAATTGCCTGGACATATATGTAAAAGGCAATTCATAAATAAAATAATATTTCACACTGTGTATTTTTTGCACTATGTAGTATTCTAACAATTAAAAAAAAGTTATAAAAAGGCTGCTTCCCCAACCTGTGTGGAGGGTGGTAAGAATATTTGAGACAGCCCCCTCCAAGCACCTAATATGGCCATACCACCGCCACTGCTTAAATAGCAGTATGCAACCGAATCTTGACAACAACAACAATTATTGATATTTAAAGTCACATTTTTCCATTATGGATAGCCACCAAGTGTTTACATTAAAGAGAAGCTCAGCTTCCCCAACCCATAAACAGTATCTGGGAATCGAGGCCAAGATATTATCTAACGCAACATTTCCAAGAAGCAAAGTGTTTATACTGTGGGAAGACAAACTGTAGTCTACAAAATGTACAGCCAAACACTTCCCACAGACAGGTGTTCTGCATGGTCCTTTTCAAACCACCTGAGAAACACAGAGGCGGTAAGACAAGCCAGCCCCTCCCAGCCTCTGTGTGGATAAGTGGAATTTGCAAGTTAAAAGAGGGATGGGGCAGGATGGAGGTGTACAGAAAACAAAAATGTGGAGCCAGACTGGACTGGTATCAACTCATGGGGAGGGACCACTACTCAGTGACAGAACACCTGCTTTGCATGCAGATTCCAGCTTCAATCGCCAGCATCTCCAGGAAGGGCTGGGAAAGACTCCCTGACTGAAACCCTGGAGAGCTGCTGCCAATCAGTGTAGACAATACTAAGCTAGATGGATCAATGGTCTGACTCATTGTAAGGCATCTTCCTATCTTCCATAAAAGGGGCAGGGGAACAAAATATTTGTTCAAGTTGCAAAATCAGGTTGCCTTTCTCCATAAGACCAGCAGATGGCAGCATTTTTGTTCTACAGCCAAGCAGTTCCATCAAGATTGATCTGTTCTTAGGATACCACTTTTGTGTATTTACTACCCAGCAAGGTGTCATTCTAAAGCCTTTGCAAGATCTACATCTATTTCTATAAACAGCCACACACTCAAGTGCACGCTTATTGATTAAAGCAAAGGAAAACTCATGCATGCATTTACATTATGTCTACAATGAAAGCCTACACATTTTAGAAAAGCCACTTAAATCTTACTGTTAAATGAGTCATGGACCAATTTGGAACACAAACAGCTTTTTCAGATACAGAGTTCATCTGATGCACAGAAATGGGCAGTGCTGCTGCCAGCAATGCTGCTTCCAAAAAGGCTGCAAGATCAATATTCTAAACTATCGGGGTTACTGCTAAAGGGAGATGGGTGTTGTGTCCTCCGGAAGTGCCTTCTTGTCTGGCAATGGCACTGCCATTCTAGCAGAATCAGCTTAACGAGAAAGTATTGGAAGTCCTCGCTGCACCTTAAAGTGGCATTTGAACAAGTATGTAAAAGAATTTGCAGACTATACTACGGTGTAATTAATAACCCACTGGATAAAATGGCCTCTATTTTGCAAAATCAATCTTCCTGCACATGTCCTAGGCCAAATCTGGCATAAAAAGTCAAATATTCTGGGACAAGAACTCATACCACCAGAAACTGGTGCAGTTAGAGCCAGACTAGAAGGCCTAGGTACCCACCTTACCCAAAGAGCCTGGGTGCCCTTCTCCCCAAGCAGCCAGAGGCTAGGGAGCTGGCAGCACCAAATGGTCCTGCACCAGGAAGCATGGGCGTAGCCAGGACTTTTGTTTGGGGGGCAGAAGTGATGTCATTGGTCAGTTAGTTAAGTATTTCTATGGTTTTACTTGGTCTAGGGGGGGACAGCTGCCCCCACTGCCCCCCTTTGGCTATGCCCATGCCAGGAAGTGAAGTGCTGCTCACTGTCCTCAAGGCTGCAACTGTTCACCATTTTAAACTGAATCATTTCCACCCCAGGGTGAGAGTGACAGCAGGCTCAACCAATCAGACACCATATTTTGGGGGTGGGGGATGGACCCAATAAGGATACCAAAGCAGTGAGGGGAAAGGCATTCTCTAAATTGGTAACGGGGGGGGGGAGGATTTATTTATTTTATTTCATGGAATTGATGCACTGCTTGATTGCAAAATGTATATATGTTTATATATAAATAAATAGGCTCATTGTGCTTCCCAACCAGCTGATAGAATAGCATCTTCAAGGGGATCAAGGATGTTATCTGATTACTGGGGGCAGAGAGGGTAAAGTAAAGGGAAAAGGGGGTTTAAGCTACCTTTCGGGGGGGGGAGGTCTGGTGGGGGGGAGTGGATCAGCTGCTTTTCAGAGTGCAATGCTGCCTGTCACTGCCCTCCCAAGCTCCAACATGGGAATTAGTAAGTAAACCAAAATAGTAACAACAAAGCAAAACAAAAATCATTAAATCTCCAATGATCTTTCATTGAAAGGAAATCCAAAGCACCACCCTTGGAAAATCACACTGCTCAGGGAAGCAGGGAGCACGATGCAATATGTCTTCTGAATGACATATCATTGCTGGGCGTTTTGTGCATTGTGAGCTCTTTTTGCAATTACTGGAGGGAGGGGGCAGCACATCAATTAAAAATCTCTCCAAACTGTGCTCTCTCTTCAGGCGCTGGCCCGTTTGGGGAGTGCCGGAGGTAAGATGGATTTCATCCATCTGCTCCAACTGTCCTGGAGCCCTTGTTAATAGTGATAGGGTTTCTAATGGGCTGTGTGATCCTTGAAGATAAACCTCAGTGACATTCAGATAAAACTGGCAAGGCTAGAATCCAAATCTCTGGAGAGAACTCAGACTCAGGCAAATGAAGCTGCCCACTGAAGGGAAGAAACAAGAATCCCTCGATTTGCATAATTTATTGTAAGCCATTTTGCATCTCCCAGGGAAACAGGTAGAAAACATCCTTTCCCAACCTGGCAGCCTTCGGGTGTTTTGGACCACGACTCCCATCAGCTGTGATGGCAGGTGATGATGGGAGTTGTAGTCCAAAACACCTAGACAGTATTGTGCTGAGTAGAGTGTGTGTGTGAGAGAGAGACAGTTATTTTACAATACTTGTATTCAGACCATTCAATTTTCTGCAAATGGTCTGAGCACAAGTACATTTGCGGAAGCTGACACTGAAAATGGCTATGCTTATCTGAGGACCAATGTATACAAAATCACAGCAAACTGGAGTCTGGGATTAATGCAATGAGAAGTAGTTATCTTCCCAAACCATTCCCAGCCAGCAAATCCTCTCCACCCACCTCCCCTCTTTCACCTCCCTTCAACCAACCCCTTGCTTTAACATTCCATAGCCAAATCCCGCCTTCCCCAATATGGCACCCCCTCATTCAGGATGTTCTCCCTATCCCTGACCACTTGCACAGTCTGCTGTTGTTCTTGGAATAAACAAATAAATGAAAATTAAAACTGGTGATATATGATTCTTCAAGTATATAACCGACAGGGGCTGCCCCCCAGCTTACATTGCTCACCAACCCCACCCCACCCCTCAACCCTCTTGCCAATTCCCCACCCTGTCCCTTTACATCTCACCCAAAACCCTCACAGCTCTTTCAAACTCCCCATCCCCTCGCAACTCCTCTCCTCTGTGTGTCTCCATCCTTCCTTCATCCAAACAAACTGCTGTTGTTTAAAATTGCCATTTTAAAAGCTGGCTCTCTCCCGCCCCCCATATCCCCTACCCTGTGATGTGGCACTCCAAATCCTCCAATGGTGGCTGCGTGATGACAGCCTTAAATTTTTATGTATATAGGAAGATAAAAACAGCACCCATACGATTGTGAACATAGATATTTAAACAGACAAAAAAGGCAGACAACCCACCAGAAGCAGGGAAGGAAAATCAGTGTTGGCTGTAAAGGGAGGGAGGCCATCTGAAGAAAGGAGCAAGCCCATCTAGCAGGGATCAGCTAATAGGCTGGAAGTCTGGTCTTGGCTTTATGTACATCTGGGGCAAGTGTTTTGAATGTATTCTGGAAGGGGTATTATATGCAAATGAGCACTCAAATTATGAGAGAGTTGGGTTTGTTTGCTTGCTTGCTTGCTTGCTTTTTAAAAGCTTCTACTAGCAAATGCATCCAGTCTCTAAGGTCAACATTCTGGGGAAGGGGAAAGAAACTGGGACCTTCTGCATGTGAAGCAGATGCTCTACCATTGATCATCCATCCCTGAGGTGAGTTTACAGTGATTTCATTAGGAATCTCAAAGATTCTTACACCTGTCAGTAAATAAATTTTGACATGAACAGTTTAAGGCAACACACAGCTCTCCAGATGCTGTTGGACTTCCAACTTGCATCAGCCCCAGCCAGCATTGCTGATGGTCAGAAATAACAGGAGTTGTAGTCCCACAAAGTATTGAGGCATCACATTGGGTATCCAAGGCTTAAGGGGCTGCACTGCTTAATGACGTGCAAGCAAACCCACTTTTCAAATGAGTGGCAAAGGAGTTCCTCTTTGAGAGCCTATGACTTGCTGGTGGAGTAAGTGCTAGATACTTTGGAGACAGAGGTGAGGCCAAGTCTTGCAGGAAGTTGAACTGTCAACATGGACATACCCAAGGAAGAAGTACCTTGTTCAGAAATCACAACCTTGAAACCATGGTCTGAGCAATGTGGGCTCACAAACACTTTCTGTCCTCTGTCTCCTTCACTTCCTTGCTTTTGATAACAAACTAGTTCTCTGGTGCCACACAAGATTACTAAATATTAAGACAACACCTTTTCCAATTATTTTACACGTTTCTCCTCCGAATACTTTAATGACCGTGTTTGCTTTTTGTACTCTGGTTGCTGGGTTTGTTTATGGATATTTGATGTTTTCCAGTTTCCAGTTTTGTATTTTGTTGACTATAAGCTGCTTTGAGGGCCGCTAAGGCGCAGGAAAGCAGCACATAGAGTAATTAGAGTCTGAAAGTTCCCCCTCCCAACAAATATTATACCCAAGGGAAAAGGATCAGGATCTTGTCAGCAGGTTGGATTCTGATCTCCCCGACCCTCTACAGGCCATTTTTAGGGGCTCCTGTTCATTCCTTGGCAGCCATGGGCTTCAGCCAATGTTAGTCCTATTCAAGAGTAGTCCCACTGAAATTAATGAACATGGCTAGCTTACATGCAGCTAATCCACAGCAAATGCACAATGTCTCTGAGAAACAGACAGCAAAAGTCACACAGAGTAAAGGGGCAGAAAGTTGATCTCCAAGGCTCAGAACTGGCAAGCACTAATTCCTCTGAGTACTCTCTCCAGCCCATTAGCAAATGCTCTTTGCAGGGAGAGCAAGTGAGAATACGAAAGTGTCCCTTTGGGCTGTGCCGACATCTGAAGCCAGGCTCCAAGGACAGAAGCCGGTGGCCTTCTGCACATTTTCCTAAGAGCCTAGTAATAAAATTGAGGTCCATTAAAGGCACATGGCAGCATCTGCGGACCATAAATTATGTATGTCCATTTTCTATGGAGGGAGCAAAGAGATTCTATGTTTGTTCTCATTCTCCCCCCTCCCCCTTCTCTTCCTCCTGCTCCCTGCTCTGCAATCAAGGCAGCAGTCTGCTTTCACCATCAGAATAAAGCTTTATTTGATAAGCTGAAGCACTAATTGGGAAAAGAAAAATCACTGAAGCTTGCACATATGACTACAGAGCAAGATAAGAGAGTACATAAACCTCTGGTCCATCCTGCCTGGACTACTGTAATGAACTGTACGTGAAGCTGCCCTTTAATACCATCCAGAGACTGCAGCTAGTGTAAAATGTGGCTGCCAGGTTGGTAAGTGGGACAGCCCAATGGAACCATGTGTCACTCAGAGCACTGCACTGGCTGCCAATGAACTAATTCAAGGTATTAGCACTAGCACACAAGGTCCTGCATGGCTTGGGACTAAAGTACTTAAGGGAGCCCCTTCCCCAATACCAGCCAGTTATACCTGCAACCACAGTGGGAATGGCTGTAACTCTGCTTTGCATGTATAAAGTTCAATTCTCAGCATCTCCATGTAGGGCTGGGAGAGTCCCTGTCAGAAATCCTGAACCACTGATTATCAATGTAGACAATACTGAGCCACATGGAACATTGGTCCGATACAGTATGAGGCAGTTTCATATGTTCCAGTGCTTCCTAAGGCACAGATGGGGATACTGTGATCCTCCAAAAAGGTTGTTAGACTTCAGCTCCCATCAGCTTAGCCAGCACTGCCAATGGTCAAGCCTGATGGGAATTGTAGTCCTGCAAATATTCAGAGGGTTCCCCATCTCTGCCCTGTGGCATGCCTGCTACTCAGCAATTCTTTTGCCTTGCAAATATACTGAGCTTCAGCTATGTTGGCTGATAATATAAGCCGAGGATTCTAGCAACCCATCCCCTCAATCAATAAATACACTGGGCTAAATGCATCTGACGTTAAGCTGCGTCCTCCAAGTCTAAAAGCAAATTAAAGTGGTATATAGATTTGGTATGTTCCAGTGATAACATCAGAAAACTGGCTTTTAGTTTCCCCTTTTTTTCTTTTAAGGGACACTGAAACATTTCTCGTAATCAACAAGCCATCTGCAAGATGATTCATTCCCGGGCATACAGCATAAAAATGAAAGTGCACGCTGCAAATCTCTTGGAGAATTGTGACTGGAAAACCTGCCTCTTTAAAGGGAGTTCTCCCCCAAAACTGGTGCCTTCCAGAGGTTTTGAACTGGGGCTGATGGGATTTGTAGTTCAAAATATTTGGAGGACCCCAGGTTGCGAAAGCCTCTTTCAAGATTTTGGTGCTTGCTTCTCTAAATTTCAGACAAAGGCAGATATATTTAAAAGTGGTTTTGGTCAGGGAAACTTTTACAAACATGTTCCAAAATACAAGATTCAGAAAACTTGAGAGGCGGGGAGGAATGCCCCCTTCATAGGTATGCAAAATGCTTCCATATGGTCAGAGACTTTCTCCAACCAAGCTGTGATCCATTTAAGATATTAACAGTGAATGAACCACTTTTGCATGAGTTTTATCCATCTTTCCATTCCTACCTGTTCCATCTTCCAAATGTCCGAAGTTGCAGATTTGGGTGATGTGGTGCACCCAAGCCTGCATTTCCTCCTCCGATTTGGCCACCAGGTAGAAGGTGCGGTAAGTCGTTTTCACAATGAAGACAAAGTTGTTTTGGAATTCTTTCTTGATGAAGCTCGAGCCCGAGTGCTTCACCACCTCACATTCATTCAGGTCGATCACCCGGATGGGTTTTTTGGAATGGCTGTTTCGGTAATACTCTAGGACATCAGGGTTTCCGCTCATTCGGCCCTGGCGCAACACGAACCAGCGCTTTCGCCAAGCCTGAGAAAAAAATAGCGAGAAGGATTGTTGGTGGCAATGTGTGTCTGCCAAAATAATTTAAATAGGAAAATATTCTGGAATTTCCCCCCTATACAGATGAGCATAATTTGCATCATTTACATCAGAAAAGATTCAGGCTGCATCAGAAATTTCTTTTTAGTTATACAGTGGTGCCTCGCAAGATGAAATTAATTCGTTCTGCAAGTCTCTTCGTCTTGCGAGTTTTTCGTCTTGCGATGCACGGTTTCCCATAGGAATGCATTGAAAATCAATTAATGCGTTCCTAGGGAAACCGCCTTCAGACCAGGTCCAGGGACAGTCTGTCCCCCGACCTCTTCTGAAGGCTGGGGGGGGACAAGGGCTTTTCTTCCCACCCCCAGCATTTTAAAAAACCCTGGGACAGCGGAGGACTTCTCCGCTGTCCGGGGCAATCTTAAAATGCTGGCGGGCGGCATTTTAAAATCGCCCGGGACAGCGGAGGACTTCTCCGCTGTCTGGGGCGATTTAAAAGCCCCTGGGAAGGCAGGCAGGGGGGAGCAAAGATTTTCGCCCCCCGCCCGCCTTCAGAATAGGTCCTTGACCTCTTCTGAAGGCGGGCGGGGGCGAAAGTCTTTGCTCCCCCCTGCCTGCCTTCCCGGGAGAGCGGAGAAAGGCAGCGCATTTCTCCGCTGTCCCGGATGGCTTTTGAAGGCAGGCAGGGGGGAGCAAAGACTTTCGCCCCCCGCCCCCCTTCAGAAGAGGTCCTGGACCTCTTCTGAAGGCGGGCGGGGGGGCGAAAGTCTTTGCTTCTCCCCCCCCCTTCAAAAGCTGTCCTGGACAGGCTTCGCGGACCTCTCCGCAAGCAGCGGGAGCGCAAGCAGCGGGAGCCGCCTGGCATCGGAGCTTGGTTCCGATGCTGGGCGGCGGGAGAAGGCGTTCCCGCCCGCCGCCCGGCATCAGAGCTTCGTTCCGAAGCCGGGTGGCGGGAGGAGGTCCGAGGACAGTGGGGAAGACGCGCTGCGCTTCCCCGCTGTCCCGGAGATTTCCCTATGGGCTTTCGTCTTGCAAAGCAAGCCCATAGGGAAATTCGTTTTGCGAAGCGCCTCCAAAACGGAAAACCCTTTCGTCTAGCGGGTTTTCCGTCTTGCGAGGCGTTCGTCTTGCGGGGTACCACTGTAAATAAAAACATAGATGGAATGAAAGAAAAAAGGAACATGTGAATAATAATGATAATACTCCTATCAACTCACATTAATGACACACTAACCACCAGTATTGTCCATCTTCAGTTAATATAAGACCTCCAGATGTCAAAATAGGTATCCACACAGAACTGATTTTTCCTCTCCGCACAAGACACATCATATGGGGACTTCTGGAGAGGAAAATTGGCGGGCGTCATGGCAGCGAGCAGCTCCTGAAGCCAGCCAGAGCCAAGTGCGCCACCAGGCTGGCTCCGGGTTGCTGAGGCTGCCACTGCCATGTTTCCGAGGGATAGATTTGCAAATCTGGGGACATTCTGGGGAAGGAATTTGTCCAGGGACAGTCCCCAGGAACCAGGGATGTCTGGTAACCCTACCTCAGAAATGTGTGCAAACTGTAAATATGCAGGTTCCTATCACATATAGCATATGCTAACAATTGAAAAGGCCTGTTTTGTTTTGTTTAATTTTATTTTTGGATTTCCAGGTTTACAAACAATAACAAAGAAAACAATTAAGATATAATCAATAAATCCCCTTTGACTTCCTTCCTCCTCTTTTGTGGATCCTTATGCCAATATTTTCTCCCTGATTCCTAATTCTTCCAGTCAGTTTTGCCATTTCAGCATAGTCCATCAGTTTTATCTACCATTCTTCCTTGGTAGAATGTTTTCTTTCAATCTCTGAGCTAACAAAGTCTGGGCAGCTGAATAGTCTCTTCAGGTCACAGGATTTCGGGAAATGGCTGTTATGTGCCATGGTCCAGAGGTTAGTATGGGATCATCAAGCAAAGAGAACCACGATTTTCAGAGAGAGGGGAGAGATATGTCTTTTGTGGGCTGTGCCCAGCCCAAATGAGCATCATCTCTCTCATCAACCCAAAGTTCTCTGTGATGGGCCAAACATTTGGAAAGGGTGCTTCAATTTCACCACAGGAGAGGGTAGACTATGGACAACCCAGAACAGAGCCAACTCCAGTTTTGATGAAGCTCTCAGCAAAAGCTCCCTCTAGTTTGCGCCCCCCCCCCCAATATCAGTGGCCTTGGTCCTATGTTGGCTACCTTGCAGCAGGCAGCATTTATGCAGCAAGTCACTTCTGGAACTACAGTAGAATATACTGCAAGCTTTGTGATGACGACAACAACAACAACAACTTATATGCAGCCAATCCGACTGGGGTGCCTCAGCCACACTGGGCGACTTCTGGTAAATTATAAAACCACAGTAAAACATTGCACATTAAAAACTTCCCTATACTGTACAGGAATTACTGGGTTATCTGCATCCAGAAAAAAAATTGTTTGCAAGAAAATACGGAAATGAATGCAAAACCTGTGCAAAATGCCCGGAAGTGGCTTTTACATCATTTGAAGGCTAAAATATAATGTGGAATTTAACAGTTTGGGAAAAGTAATCAAAACAGAATAAACTGTGATGTGAATGCAGCCATTGTGCACACAGCCCCATTTCATCCTTGGGTGGGTTGAAGAACCTGCCAAAATCTTGGTGCTTGCCTTCAGATCACTTTTCAGGGGTCTGGTGAAGAAAAGGGTGAAAATGAAAAAGGGCACTTCCGGGTTCCCGTGACATGGCAGACCGACCACGCATATGATAGCTCTGTCAGATTCGGCCTCACGGAGCCTCTGGGAAGAGCACTTCCCCAAAAAACTCCAAGAGGAGCACTAGGGTGTCTCGGGGTCCTGCTGTTCACAGAGGGCACCTTGGCATTGCCGGTCTCTGCTCTCCGTCCCGGAGAGGTGCGGAGGGGGGGGGGCGAGTGAAAGCGATGGTGGACTAGGCACCATCGCAGCTCCGTGAGGCAAAAATCTTTGGGCTAACATTTCTTTTAAAAGCGAGAGGCATTTTAAGCAATGACATTCCAAAAAATTTAAGGTAAATTTTCCTATATGCCACGGCCACAGCTCGAACACTGGTAGCAATTAACTGGAAAGGGGAAAATGTTCTAACATTATCGGATTGGCAATGTAAATTACAGGAATTGCAGGAATTGCAGAAATGACGCAATTGCCCAACAGTTTGAGTGGAAATAAAAGACAAGTGTTTGTTTAAAAATGGAATAAATATAAGAGGCATCTACAAAATTATAACAGTGGTATAATGTCTATGGAAGCATTCGATTGACCCTCGTCTAAAGTAAGCCATAAGAAATAAGACAAATTGTTGTAAGAATGTATTAGAGAATATAGAATGAGTAAGCTAATAATGATAGGTACATTCATCATCAGAAAGATGACGCACCAGGAAATGATAGGAAGTCTAGTCTCATTTATTTTATGTTAGTAAAAAGATAAGAAAAAGGGGGGGGGAGAAACAGCATAAATCTAAGTTAAGTTTAATTTCTGTAAACATATAGAAGATTATTTGTATATGGGTTTTTGTTTATACGGTTCTGTTTATATTTTTGTTCATTCAAGCATGTGTACATTATCTATGTTATATACGAATTTCAATAAAGTATTTGGAAAAAAAGAAAAAGGAAAAGGAAAAGAAAAGAAAAGGGGGGAAAGAAAGAAAGTGCTGGTGAACTAGGCACCACCGCAGCTCTGTGAGGCAAAGCCTCTGATCCAGCCACAAGCGGTTACCATTCCAGCATACTGAAGCCGACTGCAAAGGTGAGGACTGTTTAATTTGATCGATTCGGCAAAAAAACGGGAGCGTTAAAAGGAAGTCCGCTCCCGTTCCTGGTGCTACAAGCACGAAATATATACAAGTGAAGTGTTGATGAAGTTTACTTTGGGAGATAAGTTAACTAATGAACAATAAGGATTAAAAGATTCCACACAGCTTTCGTTTATACTAATCTCAAGAATTTTTAAAGCATCAAAATTGACTTGAATTCAATTTGAACCTGAATCTATCCTATGTTGTGATTGAACTTGACTGAAAATGGAGGTCAAACAGGAGAAGGATTGCAATGTTATTTAATGGAAGAATACTACAAATTTCCTCTCTGGAAGAAAGATTGGACTGACTCTCTGAATCTACGCTACTTTTAGGAAAGAATTTTTTGATCTTTCAGAGTGTTGAAGACATCTAACCTAATGGAATTATAATTGTGGACTTATTTTATTAAAAGGTATCAGCTGGTTTAAAATCATGATTAAAAAAGAGGACTATAATATTCATTGCTAATATTGAACTAAATCAGACTTTAAAATAACATTAATATTATAGTTTTATTCATATTGGTAATTAAAAATCATTTTGATGGGAATATATAACTGTTAAAATCTGGTTTTGTGAGTAAAGTGGAAGGGGGGTAGGAAAGAGGCTGGAAGTAATGGTTTTCTCTACTGAGTCTAGTGAAATGGCCTAATAAAGTACTGATAAAGCCAAAATAACACCTTCCTTGGTGGGAAAGGACTTTTTGTTTTGGAATTAAATCTTAGAGAGGAAGCTGGGAAATGGAGAGAGAATTGGCCCCCCTTCATCCCAAATTAGAAATGGCAGAAGAAAAAATCTCAATGTTGAAACAAACCAGCAGGGCTGTAAGACAAGAGAACATAAAATATGAATTATACGATTTGTTTTTAGAATTTAAAAGAGAACTGTTCGATCAGATAAAGGAAAATGTTGATAAGGCAGCTTCTCAAATTCGGGAAAATACTAATTTACTTCCAGAGGCTATGGGACAATTTAAAGAGGTGAATGTACAAACCACCGAGGTGGGAAAGGTTGAGGTGGGAGGTTCAAGGAAAATGCAAGGGAAAGTAAGGGTGGTCCACAACAAAAATGGCACATCATGTGAATTGATTTGGGAGGCTTTGACTGTGATGGAGACAAAACAGGAAGGGAGGG